CTTCCTCTGTAAGGGCTTAATACAGGACCTAACATTTTTTAGAAAATAAAAAGAAAACACAGCTACTGTGTAGAAAGATACAATTACGCTTATATTAAATGTGGTATTTTCCTCCAGAGACTTAAAATATTCCATAGCTGACCTTTTCAGTGTCAAGAATTATTTCTCTGAACCAGCTCTAGCATTAGATATTGCAGACTTCTGAAGGAGGAGACTTGAGGAAGGTGCCAATAAAAATATGCCTTTGAAAGCCAGAGTATAATATCTTATGTATTTAGTATTAAATAAGGAACGTACTCAAACCTCAAGATAGGAAAAAATAAAACTGAACATAAGGAAAAAATCTTTCAGTTGAGCCAAATGTTTTATGAACTGCAGTAACAGTAGGGCATAGCTAATTTTTTACGAACTATTGCTTAAACAAAAACAAACAAGTAATTCACCAAGGTCAAAATATGCCAGCTGAATATAACACAGGTTTATGTAGCTCTTTGGTCTCAAGTTAATGATTTTATGCCACTGACCTTAGGTTAACCAGCTGGGTGAACTGACTTCACATGGCTGCAAAATGACTTGAATAACATTTGAATATGCATTGACTATCTCAGAAAGTACATGGAGAGAATCTAGATGAAACTTTACTAAACTTTCTACAAGAATGTTCAAACTTGACTATGCCAACCAAACTCGCTAAGAGAAATGGCATAAAGCAGATTAATGAACAGTTCCTGAACTAGTGGGACATACATAGTTGTGGTATTAAAGGAATAGCTTTAGGAAAACAAACAAGCAAACAACCCTACATCCAGGAGATTTGCACAGATTTCCAGGGACCAAGATGTTCTGGATTTTCAGACTTTAAAACTGACAAAATCTCAAGCAGCATTAGCAGGGCTAGGCTTGCAGATCTGGGGATACTTCATTTTTACAGATCAAGTCAATAAAAGCTGCATCTTCTTTGAAAGCTTATTAACTCTGAGCATGCATTTATACTAAACCTTTATTTCTGCATTTATTTATTTATTTATTTATTTAAATAAGCCAAACCCACCCACAGGTGGGATTTTTTTCCACATGTAGTCTCACATATAGGACTTCTAATTCAAAATAAGTCTAACAGGTAAAAAATGCATTAATAAATATAAGACAAAATACAGTTTAAATATATAATAAGAAAGAGCTGATAACTAATTTTCCATTCACATACAGGGTTTTTTTCATTAGACTAAAATACAACAAAACCAGCAACTGACTATTAGAAATATGTATTTCAGAACTCCAGAAACACAATGCCCTTACCAGTCAGTGTACCCTTAGAGGCTTTAATTGCAAATATTTCACATTATCTGATAGAAGCAAAATGTAAAACATGAAATATTAAAAGATGAAAATATGGCAGCTGAAGAAAAGAGCTCCAGGCACAAACCTGCAAGGGGCAGTCTTGGCTTACATGGTTTGTAAGCCACATAGATTTGCAAGCTTGGAAGGGTAATCAGAACATTTTGGTGTTCCTACATTTGCCATAAAATGCATTACATGCAAACAGTAACTTCTTCCATGTCTGAGATGCTACTGAAACGTTCCTTAAAAATTAATCCCTCTCTTTTACGTCCATCATAGCTATTATTTTAGGAAGATCTGTAAATCCGCAGCCTTGGCATTCCATACTCTCCACCTGCAATCCCTTGAGCATTTATTTGAAGGGCAAACAGTAACTTTAGTTTTCAGAAACTTGAACCTACAATCAGAAAAATATAAAGATACTGCTGTGGGGCTCTTCCACGTTGAACAGACTCTCCTGAGTCCTCCTCCTGAGTGATCTTCCTCTCCTCAGGAGGGAAACTGAAAGGTTTCTGAACCATCATATGAAACAATTAGGGAAGAAAGTAGCCCCCTGGCAGCATTTAAGTGAGCATGTACTCTTTAAAAAAGCCCGTAGATAAAATTAAAGTCCCCCAAACATGCTGAGTCAGACCCAGCATGCACTTGATTTCTATTACTTGGGAGGAAAAGCCACAAAAAAAATTTAAAAAAAGAAAACAAAAAAAAAACAACAACAAAAACCAAACAAATCCCACACGTACCTGTAGCACAGCAAGTGTGGGAGACAGCAGAGGCAAGTGACAAGGACTCAGCGTGGGTAGTTACCACTGACTGGGATCCCAAAGAAAGTGCGAACTCATAAAATGAAAGGAGTGAGCACAAGGATCAGGTTTCTTCAAATAAGCATTACATAAGGTACTGCCTTTATTTTGGCGTGGTGCAGCCACAAAGTCGAAGGTTCACTCTTTTAAAAGCCGTTAATTTCCTTGCTAGTGTAGACAGAGGGGAGTGTTGCTGCTGTGAGGAGTACTGCTGCAGCTGAGTTCCAGACCTTCCTTTTAAATGACACAAAAGGATATTAAGCATTGCAGGTCCTTTCTTTTCAGCTTAGGAAACATGTTGACTGAGATGAGCAATTAATTTAGGCAAAAGTTTGTTGTTGTTGTTGTTTTGGTGGTGGTGGTGGTTTGTTGTTGTTTTTTTAAGGAGGTTTCTTTGTTTTTAAAGGTTAGGTTATTATCACTTTTAAACACTACACTGGCATTGTTATCATTAGACTGTTCATCCATTGATAAAAGACATATCAAAAGTCAGCAGGGTGATGCAGTGAAGTAGAGACGGTTTCAAAGCTCTAGAGAAGAAAAAGCTTATATTGCATGCTCTTTAAAAAAGCCCGTAGATAAAATTAAAGTCCCCCAAACATGCTGAGTCAGACCCAGCATGCACTTGATTTCTCTTACTTGGGAGGAAAAGCCACAAAAAAATTTTAAAAAAAGAAAACAAAAAAAAAACAACAACAAAAACCAAACAAATCCCACACGTACCTGTAGCACAGCAAGTGTGGGAGACAGCAGAGGCAAGTGACAAGGACTCAGCGTGGGTAGTTACCACTGACTGGGATCCCAAAGAAAGTGCGAACTCATAAAATGAAAGGAGTGAGCACAAGGATCAGGTTTCTTCAAATAAGCATTACATAAGGTACTGCCTTTATTTTGGCGTGGTGCAGCCACAAAGTCGAAGGTTCACTCTTTTAAAAGCCGTTAATTTCCTTGCTAGTGTAGACAGAGGGGAGTGTTGCTGCTGTGAGGAGTACTGCTGCAGCTGAGTTCCAGACCTTCCTTTTAAATGACACAAAAGGATATTAAGCATTGCAGGTCCTTTCTTTTCAGCTTAGGAAACATGTTGACTGAGATGAGCAATTAATTTAGGCAAAAGTTTGTTGTTGTTGTTGTTTTGGTGGTGGTGGTGGTTTGTTGTTGTTTTTTTAAGGAGGTTTCTTTGTTTTTAAAGGTTAGGTTATTATCACTTTTAAACACTACACTGGCATTGTTATCATTAGACTGTTCATCCATTGATAAAAGACATATCAAAAGTCAGCAGGGTGATGCAGTGAAGTAGAGACACAGTTTCAAAGCTCTAGAGAAGAAAAAGCTTATATTGCATGGGAAAAATATTGTCTCTTTCAAAGTGAAAATAAATAACATGTAAAAAGATTACAGGCTTGTAGATTTCTGTATATATCATTATAATAAGTGTTTAAAATGCTGATACACTTTAATTCAATCCACAACATTTCATATTTTTTTTCCTTTTGAATTAAAGTGACTGTGTGATCCTTGTTGCCCTTTCCTTCTCCTGATCTCCCTTTTATTGGATTATTAGAATTATTTTTTTAAAAATAAAGAATATCCTTCATCTGAGGATATTAGCAACCCAAAATTCACTGTTTCCTCAGAGGCGTGTTTAAAAAGTAGCAAAAAATGCACATGCTAATCTACCACCTTTGCCTTAGGGAAGCAACCAGCTTTACGATTTAGACCTCATAAATAAGGTGTTTTCCCATACTCTAGATAACTTTGTCCATGCAATTTCTTTACAACTCCTAAAATAAAGTAAAACAAATGAAAAAAGAAATCCTAGCAAAGAATTCCAGAGTGAAGTCATAAGGCTCATAACCCTACCCTTTTCTTTTGGTTTGTTTTTTTTGGCTTTTCCCACTTGTATACTACAAACTATAACCACAAACTATAGCACACAGGAAGCTTAGATACTCCACAGCAACTTCCAAGAGCAAAAGTAAAATAAAGGTAAGAAAAATTGGAAGCTTAAATCATTCCTAGAATAAAGACATTAAAGCAGTTCTTACTGAACCTTCTCTCCACTGGAGCTGCTTGACCACATTTCCACCCCCTTAGTCACAGTCATGTGGCTCCAGAAATTCTTTGTATGTCAGACTTTAACTTAATATTAACATTAAACTTTAGAAATCAAATGGCTTTTCATTTGACTTCCTGTTGTTTCCATGTTCCTTACTAGGCAATCCATGGCAATTTTTTTCACAGAATCAAAACTTAATTCAGCACATTCACGAGCTCCGGAGGTGCAGCTGGTTGCACTTTGTCCTGTCAATACATCCATCCCTCTTTTGGATCTCACATTTCCAGCTCTGACTCAGTGACTTACAGTATTATCATCCAGATTTGGCTGTACTTGTGGTAACCTGTAGCTACTTTGTCGGACCTGAGTCAAACTGTGACAGGCTGTACTTGTGGTAACCTGTAGCTACCCTTTCACTTCAAACAAATACTGCATCTTTGTTTTTTGCTTCTTGCTTAGTCACAGTGTCAGTGTTACAGTACACACGCTGTTTCCTTGTTTATGAGACAGCTGTTCTCTAAATATGTGGCCTAATAGTCCTCTTGCACATGAGCAAACCTTCTAACACTAACAGAACCCTGTTAATGTGGAGTCATCCAGGTTTTACACTGGGGTAATTAATGCACAATAAACTTCTAGACCTATGCCTTCTGGAAAAAATGTGTTATGAGAGCTGTATCACTCAGTTAACAGCTGGATTAATGCATTATGTATTAATGGTATCATATGACAACTGTTAAACAGCAGTGGCAGGCCAGAAATTCTCTGAAGACCTCCCCACAGGAAAGACAGAGGGCCATGAGCAGCATGTAAAGGAGGAAAACATGGATGGGAAAAAGCAGAAGAAATAAAAATATCATTGAGAGATGGTTAATACTTGACTATTTTAAGTGACACACCACAATGTATATTCCTCTGATAATGTATCAGTTTAATTTGAGAGATTGTCATTAGTAAAACTAAGGCTTTCCTGCATTGCATTTTCTTCCCATTATGGAATAATGGAATTGTCAGAGTTGGAAGGGACCTCTAGAGACCACCTAGTCCAACTCTCCTGCTAAAGCAGGATCGCCTGTAGCACAGTACTCAGGACTGCATCCAGGTGGGTTTTGAATATCTCCAGGGAAGGAGACTTCATAACCTCCCTGAGCAGTTCCAGGGCTCTGTCACCCTCACCATAAAGAAGTTTTTCCTCATATTTAAATGGAACTTCTTATATTCCAGCTTGTGCCCATTGCCCCTTGTCCTTTCACTGGGAACTACTGGAAAGAGTCTGGCTCCATCCTCCTTGCTCTCACCTTCAGATACTTACAGGCATTATTAAGGTCTCCCCTCAGCCTTCCCTTCTCCAGGCTAAAGAGTCCCAGCTCTCTCAGCTTTTCCTCATAAATCCCATCTTTATCAGTACCACTGAGGAGGTGAAAGGGACATTCATTCTTCTTTTTTTTTTTTTTTCTTATAACTTCAGAAGTATCAGCACCCAGTGAAGATACTAGGCAGCTGGTTTCAACCTAATGAACACAAGCCTTTCTCCCCATGAGGCATAATTAAACTGTGGAACTCACTGCCAGAGGGTGCACTGGAGGTTAGCATTTCAAGCAGGTTCAAAATGGTACTGGCAAAGTCAGAGGCTGGGTCCATCAGGGGCCAGTCCAACACACTGCTCCAGTGGCAACACCCAGCTCAGTAACCCCCTGAAGGGCAGCCTGGCTGCCACGATGAGGAGTCAGAGGGGAAACTCCTTACCCAGCCACTGCTGGCCAGGGATGCAGGCTGGGCACTGAGGTAGATGCAATCTTGAGCTGATGCAACATGGAGTTTTTCATTGTTTTATTGATGGAAAAATCATGTAACAAGATACGTTATGCAAAAACATGTAACATTTCATGCTTAAGCAGCAACCATAGTTTATAAAAACACACAGTACAAGTGCCCTATCTGCAGATTGCATTGCAATTTGAATTCCTAAACTGACCACGAAATTATCTATAGTTTCACAGAACCAAATGTAACCAAAGAAAGTAGTACCCCACCTGAATACTCTTAGCTACAAACTTTGCAACAAAATATGCCCATTTATGTCACCTGCTAAATACACATCTGCCACCAAACAGAACCCAGTCTCTCAGAATGAGCTTCACCAAGCAATGTATTTGTGTAGAAATTAGCAGAATAGCAGCCATAACACAAAAAGAAATTAATTTACAATTTGTTTTATTTACTTCAAGCATTAAGATAAACCTCAAGGAACTGTAGAATATTTCATAGCATATTAAAACACGACATTACAAGGTGAAATCTGGGCCTTCTTCAAAAAGTATCAGTTAGAAAACACTGACAAAAAACGACAAAGAATATTGTTTGCTTTTTTACTTAATTTCTGTTCCAGCAAACTCTCCCCTCTAATTTCCTAAAATGTGTTACCAAAAATCTCCAGCGTATTACATAATTGTGTTACAGACTGAGTTGCTTGCTCTTCTATTAGATGTATTTATTCAGCCAGTTGATCATATCCTTTCTTCCTTCCTCAATATAAAGCTTATCTTGAGGATTGATATCTTCTCTTCTTCTATGTACAAAACCATGGGTTTGTCCAGGATAAATTTTAACTTCAAAATCGACTTTACAATTTCTCTTTAGCTTCTGCTCCAGCAGGGTGACCTGCAATATAGAGCATAATAGTAATTATATTAATATAGCCATAGTCCATGCTTCCAGTCCTCAGCTTGTTCATAGTGCAGCTCCCTAATGTATCCTTCATGCTAGGCACTAATAACCAGGCTCCATATGGGCAAAACAAAAAGTAAAATTATTTCAGGGAAAAAGCAAAACCTTCGCAGTAAAGGCCTAGAAAATTTGTTAGAATATTAAGACAGGTTCAACAATCTGCAAAAATACAGATACAGCAGAAATATTTTCTACATGTGAAATATATGGCATTGCTAAATACACCACAACTGAACAAAAAGCTTCTAACTGACACCTATGGAAGCAATTCTGTGTATCCTACGTGGTTTATGGGTTCCTAGGACCAACAGAAAACAAAGTCATACTAGAATACTCCAAAACAGCAATGGGATTTTGTTGAAACTTTGTTACCTGGGTTACTAGCCATATTTTTAAAAAATAAAAGAGACTTAAGAAAAAAAATATCTAGTTTTCAATCTTTGCCTAGGTTCCATTAGCCCTGCTATGTCTAGCTCAGTTTTTCAAATTTTCTGCTTATTTTTTGACCTTCAAGCACTATTATGAGGCTGAGTTTTGACTCCCAATTCAGGATGGAAATATAAACTTGCAGTAATGAAAGAAGATAGAGGTTATTAGCATACTTGATCAAGGGGAATGTAGTCATCTTTTTCAGCAAAAATGAAAAATGTAGGGCTCAGGAGACTGGATATATCATCAGAATCCTTGATTAGTCCTAGAAAACATTAAAGAAACAACAAAAAAGCCCCTCAATTTGCTTTCAATGTGAAATCTATATTCAAATACAGCACCCCAGTTTTACAGTTAAAAGTTTTCACATCTCACACAATACATAGCTATAAATATTAGCTTTACTTTCAAGCTACTGTAACCATGGCTCCTAGAAGAATACTTTACTAGATTAAAACTCTATTTAAGCCAGTTTCTTAAGATACAGACTGGATATCTGACTTACTAAGACTTGAAAGATGCCTTCTGTGCATACAAGCTTGAGTTCTTTGGAATTGACTAGGAAAAGCAATGTTTTAGTAAGTAGACCACAATTTACATTCTGGGAATGTTACCCAAGGGCTCTCCAAGCTGTTTCAGCAGAGCATAAAAGGAAAGCTGGTGCTAAAATAACCACAACCTGACTTTCACAGAATCATAGAATGGTTTGTGTTGAAAAGGACCTTAAGGGTTCCAGCCCCCTGCTATGGGCAGGTACTTTGCAGAGTATCTAGATAAAAACAACACTCTACTCCTGGGTGAAGTTCTAGCTCTGCAGCAGGCAGAGCAGCAGTAAACAGGAAAAGAGAGCTGAACTGAGGAAGTGACTGAAGGACATGTCTGTTTGTTCAGACTTGAAATAAAGACATATCTGCTATGACCCATTCTGAAACTAGGAGCAAATATCCTCACCACCATCTTCTTTTCATAATATCCTTCCTACTCTGCTGAGAATACAATAGATTAGACTAGACTAGACTAATCTCAGCTGGAAGGGACCTACAACAATCATCTAGTCCAACTACCTGACCACTTCAGGGCTGACTAGAAGTTAAAGTATGTTGTTAAGGGCATTGTCTAAATGCCTCTTAAACACTGACAGGCTTGGGGCATTGACCACCTCTCTAGGAAGCCTGTTCCAGTGTTTGACCACCCTCTCAGCAAATAAATGCTTCCTAACATCCAGCCTAAACCTCCTCTGGTGCCGCTCTGAACCACTGCCACGTGAAATACCTCTCTTCATCAGCTGACAGCCTGATTTGAAGAAACAATCCCAGACCAAGTACTTAAGCTACACAATACAGACATTGTGTACTTGCTTGTATTACATTGTTGTATTTACCTACCATAGAGAGATACACCAGCCTTCAATTCCAGGTATGTCATCATCAGGTGATGTACACCAACACCACCCCAGCAAAAACCAATGACCCCTAATCTGTTTGCACCACACTGTTCCTTTAGATATTTCAGGACAGCATCAGATTCTCTGGAAAATACAGAAAAATGCAACTAAGCACCCAAAGTAAAACCAGTATTTGAAAATATGCAAAGAAAATGTAGAGATGCATGTAAGTGTATCATGCTGCTACAGTATTTTCTTTCACATATTTTAAATAAATCATTCTTTCAGACAAATATTAGGGATTGCTAATTTGAAATCATCAGGAAAAAAAATAATAAAGTAATTTAAAAAACCCAACAAAAACCAAAAAGCAACAGCAACAACAAAACCAAACCAAAACAAAAAAAAAACTAAAAACCAAACCTGAATGGAATTAAATAAAAACACAACATGAATAACATATTTCAAAGGAAAACTAAAGGGATAGAAACTAGGTGACTGAATGAACACCTATGTAAGAGTTAAAAATCGCAGAATCACAGAGTGTACAGGGTTGGAAGGGACCTCTGCAGATCATCTCATCAAATCCCCCTGCCACAGCAGCTTAACCAGAATGGCATCCAGGCAGGTTTTGAATGTCTCCAGAGACGAAGCCTCCCCAGTCTCTCTGGGCAGCCTGTTCTAGTGTTCTGTTACCCTGATAGTAAAAACGTTTTTCCTTATGTTTAGGTTAAAATGCTTGTCTTCCAGTTTGTGACCATTGCCCCTTGCCCTGTCACTGGACACCACTGGAAAAAGTCTGGTCCCATCCCCCTGTCACCGTCCTTTAGAGACTTATCCTCCCACAGTCTCTTCTTCTCCATGCTGAACAGACCCAGCTTTCTCAGCCTTCTTGTACAGTAGATGCTCCAGTCCCCTAATCATCTTAGTGTCTCTGCACTGGACCCTCTCCAGCAGTTCTTTGTCATTCATGAACTGGGGAGCCCAGAACTGGACATAGTATTCCAGATGGGGCCTCACCAGGGCAGAGTAGAGGGGCAGGAGAACCTCCTTTGAACTGCTTGCCATACGAAAAGAAAAAGCTTAACATTTTCTAAGAAGCTGGATGAATTTTTGCTTTGTAAATGTAGATAGAAAAAGTAAAAAAAAATAAAATAAAACACACAAAAAAAACAGCCAAAAAAAACCACCCCCTAAAAACCCCAACACACACACACAAAAACTCAACAAAAAAAACCAAAACCAAACAAACCAAAACAAAACACCTCTCTAAAGAAGGTTACTCATTAGACAGTCAAACAAATTAGACAATAACTCTTAAGTTAGTGTCTCAGATGTAAGATACAGTGTCTGCAAGATAGTCAATGCAACAAACACGGTAGATGTTTTCAGGATTTACAAGGTAGCATGAAATAACACCTTGCCCGGATGTTGCATTGTGAAAACACCCATTTACCACTGAAGCAGGTGTCACCATGCAGAGGCAGTAAAGAGAAAGTATTGGTGGTAGAGAGCTAGCATTTAAGTCTTTTATAGCACCTCAAGACTATATTTCATCCTCAGTTCCTCGCCCCCTGGGGCACACAAGCCCATATACTTTGTTGATAGCTCAGCCTTGCAAATACCACATCATTCGCCAATGCTCAAACACACACAGAAGCAAATTAAGTGCCAAAAAATTCTTTCTTCACTCGCGCTGAAACTTGAAACATGTGAATTGCCTGTAAGAAATGCCACGCAGAGCCCAACCCTTCCTTCCCATTGCAGCAGAGAGATTCCAAACTAAAAGGTTTCCACGGCAAATGACCCCTCTGAGACAGGAATTCTCTGGAAATGATTCAGTTATGTGTCCCACAGCCTTCTCACCAAATACCTACGCCCAGCGACCTTCAACATAGCTACTCCAAACAGTCCAAGAAAGGTATCTGCTCTACCAGGAGGTTAATTAGTTTGGCCTCTAATTAGTCTGACCTCTTCCCAGTAATGCCTTGCCAACAGCTTCCTTCTGTGTTAGTAATGCAGCAGAGAACCTCTGCTAGTGACAGGTCTTTGCTGATAAATGCTCAGGCGGTGTTTCACATGAGAGGGGAAGACATAGTCTCTCCAGGGGCAGGACCAAAACAACAGGAGAAGTTACTTGCTAATATTAACAAGTTAAAATTAACCAACAGCTTAAATTAAAAGCTAACTGGAAACCATTACAGGCCACAGATCACTGCCTGAGCTGTGTTCTTCAAGGATTGTTTTATGTGTCATGGCACACGCTTCTTCACTGAGGACATGAAGGTCATTTATCATACAAACAGCCCAAGGGCTACAGGGCACTACCCTACACCAGGATTTAGAGGCCAGAAAATTCTAGGTTAAGTTACAGAGAAGAAAACACCTTTGCTTGGCATCCTGTAGGAGCCTGCATTTAACAGTCCAAGAGCATACCTGGTATACAAACAGTAGCAAAACCCTTTCAGTTAAGAGCAGCAATTGGTAAATGCCTATTATATCAGCTGCTCCAGTTGTCATTCTTTCTCCCCACTTCAAATGTTTCATTTTGTTTGGTTATGAGTAAAATTTTGGAAACTGTCTGTCAGTGTCCCTTCTAGTCACAGAGTTTTCTGTCAGTCTGCTGCAGTCATACATGCAGTCATACATGCAATAACAAAAGAATCCAAACATATTATCAGCATGCTGAAGAAATCAGTTCTATTTCTCTCCAGAGGTGGTGTGTTTCTGCTGTGAGGGGACATGGTAATTTGGACCACATGGTCTGCCTTTGAGGCAGAGGACAAAAGCCTTTAAGCCACCTTATAAGAGTCTCTCAGGAAAGAGCAAAACCAGAGGTGCTACAAACACTGCTATAGTTCAGGAAGACACTGGTAAAGCCCATTTCAAAATCTGCAAGAGAAAACCAAAGCAGGTATTATAGACTTCATGACTAGAAGGAAATTACAAGTTAAGGAGTCCAAAGAACATTTTAATATAACGGGGCTGATGTGCATCCAGAAAATCTGAGTGATTAAGAAAATGACACTGCTGAATACAAGTCAGTTTTCAGTCAGCCATCCTAAAGCCTAGGAGAAGGAATGCAGTTATACCGACAGCTGGAAAGAACTGGAATCGAGTTGCTTCAGCCGTGGTGTCAGGATAACATCATTAGTAGCGAGTGAAGAGGTCTTTGATCCCACTAACTACAAGAGCATATAGTCTGCATGTAAGTGCAGGCTTGTGCTTTTCCCTTGGCCTTCACTAAGCCAAGAGCTTGCCTATAAGGTTGCAGCAGCAAACAGCTCTGTTCTTTTACTGCCATGTAGCTGTTCAATGCTACGGTGCTAGCAGAGGACTCTTGCCACACGTTGTCCAAAGTCAGTGTCTCTTCCTAGGTAGCCGACACACCACGAGTTCAAATCTCAACAAACTTGGTCTTAAAAATTCTTCACAGTGAACAGAAGAGGCTGCACGCCCAGTGTGTGCTCAGAGCCCTGAACATGTCCAGTCCTCCCTCCCCCAGGGGTTTGCAGCCAAGACCCAGGGTCAGCTCAGAGCCAGTGCAGGTGAGGGCTGCTCCATCCCCTCTGGTGAGCATGGGGAGATGCTCCCCAGCAGCGCAGGCAGCAGCCTGAGCCAGGGCTGACAGCGTCTGACCCCATGGGAGCTGCTCCTCAGCTGCAGCTCTTGCTTGAGCTACAGCTCCTGCGGTTGCAGACGTGCCTGTGCCAGGCCGTGGGCCCTGATGATCCTGTTTCAGATCACGGACCCAGGCTGAGTTCCCAGCTTGGCCTCAGCCCTGCCACATCAGTACAGACCTGCCTGGTGGTCACTGGACTTCACCTGATACTGGTTAATGCCTCTGGACCTGCCCCTGACCCCAAGCCCCCCATTCCCAGATTGACTTTGGAGCTGCCCCAGTTAACCCTGGCTGCCATCCTGGTGCCTGCCCTGCCCGTCTTTCTGGAGCACTGTGGGATGGGGCCCTGGCACTGCCAACAGATACTCCTCTTGGCTCCCAACACCTTGTTCCCTTCAGAGCTGCCAGGCTTCACTGTGCCCTCACAGCAGGTAACCCAGCCAGCAGCCACCTGGGGCCAGTTACACCATGCTAGGCAAATACAATGACATAATCCAAAACTCTTTTCTTCTCTCCATACAACATGTTGATGTATCAGTCTATTACATTTGGTGAGACTTGGGATTGAAATAATTCTTTCTCACTGCTTGTGTCACTGGTCATTTTTAAATCATGCTTCTTAAGGCAGAGAAAGCAATTAGTTGTCTGTGGTATCAACATCATATGACAAAACTCTTCACTAAGCCATTGCGGAGAGAGTTGTCCTTGAACTTTGTTCAAGACAAAATAAAAGGTCACTGATTCCATACATTTCAAAGGAGTTATTAAAAAAGGCCACCTTCACTGGTAGATTATGTACAATTCCCCCCCCCCCCCCAAAAAAAAAAACCAACAAACAAAACCAAACACAACCAAACAAAACAAAACCAAAAAAAAGGGGGGGGAGGGGATGCGGGGATTGGCATGCAACAATACATGACAGCATCAGGCAATGTGACATCTGGCTCCCTAACATCTTACTTGTTTATTTTCCTGGCATCTCGAGTTTTCAGCCAATCACCAAACTTGGACCAGTCATCAGAAGGTTTCCAAGCTTCTCTTTCTGCAAAAAAGTCTGGGCAGATGGCTCTGCATACACAGACACACACACAGACACACAAAATCAAAATTTAATTATTTGATCAAACTGTGAGATTTTTTTGACCCTTCATAGCATGGAAAGCTTCTATCCAGGCATAATCTTGTTTTTATTTCTTTTTTCCTGAGAAAGGAATGTTTTTAAACATCATTGTTAACTATTCCTCAGAAATACCTATGAGCTTTAAAAAAGTTTTCTACGTATCCAGATATGCCTTTTTCAATTACTAAACTATATAATCAAATTTGTGATACAAATCTGGAAAAATATAGTTACATAAAACAGCTATTTACTACAGAGCACATCATAAAGCTTACTTATAAGCTAGAAAAAAAAAAAAAAAGACACCTGATGAACTGAGGTCACGAAAGTAGAAGTGAAGGAAAAATGTGGGAAGGGAAGAGTGTTTGACTGCAGATGTCATTTGGCAATTGGAAAAAGGGAAATACAGTAAGAATTCACTCGGTAGTAAAGAGCTCCTGTATCTTGAGGGTGCCCAAACCCTGGCTTGGGATGAACTCGGCTGAAATGTGTTGCGTTACCAGCAGCAGAGTTGTGGTGGTGCAGTCACCCATGGATAGTACAGTCTCCTTATGCAGAAGGATGGAAGCATGCACTCTGAAGGCTGCCATCACTAGGTCACCCCCAGAACTGCTGTGTGATCTGCCAAGCCTAGGTGTGTGTTCTCCCAAGCCTAGCCCACTGGAAAGCAATGGGATCCCTGGGAAACTTCTATCATCTTTCATTTATTAAATACCTTTTGCTCTCTCTCTCCTCAGACACACAGTATATATCTCAGTGATCATGGTGAAACAACCAGATCAGTTTAGGCTAAACCAGAGCAAAGTAAGTCTAAACCAGAGGAAAGTATGTTGCAAGCTTCTTTTTTTTACTGCGTTTGATCATTTCTGTGAAAAAAAAATGCTGATATCCACAGTATGCTTGTGTTTGGAAAGGCATGAGCAAAACTGCCCAGCCCTTGAATGAGTACTTGTCAAAGAGGCTAGTTATTGCTTTGAAAGTGAACCTTCCCACGTAGAAGAACAGGTTCTGCCCACAAACTAGCCTGATAAGACACTACAAAATGTGGTCTCTGAAATACATTTCTCATAGCTTCTCATCCCACACTGCACTAAGAAAATATCCAGGTGTTTTCCTCTCAATAAATATTAAGACACTCACAGCCTCTCTTCACTCAGATGCTGAAGCCTGAAAACTCTCAGCTCTTCTCCTGCCTAGAGCCTTCTTCCCTTGATCACTGCAGCATTAGCAGTACAGGTGGAGGGAAATAAGGTATTGCAGAAGGAAAATTCTAGGAATTAAGGTGTGGAGAACTGCTGCTTTGCCTGAGTGAACTCTTACTGTAAAAAGAAAGCACACTGTCATGCTAGCAATCTGCCAGTGTCCAGCACAGTATGAAGGGTGTATGTCCAGTCTCATGTTGAGAATGGTTGCATTTGGTCACAGGAAAAACATACTTCCAATCATGGAGCAGAATAGAACATCAAGAACTCAGGTAAGATGGCAGCAAGGAGCAGACTATAGACCAATTTGTTGCTCCAGTGTATCAGAAAACTCTAATCTTCACAAGGTTAGTATCTTCATCTTGCAGAGACAGAGTGCTCCTTTTGGCTCCCCAGACAGACCTCAGGCACATGGCAACTGTCTGCTGACATCTGACTTCCCTCAAACTCCACAGGCTGAGTGTATTAAAGGCAGCTTCTCTCAAAATGAAACCATGACACAATTAGGTGGAATTAGGCTTTTTGGAACTGCAGGCTAGTCCCAACCCTATAAAAATGTTTGAAATGTATACTGTAAATAGAGTACCTTGCAGCACATTGCAAAATGTTGCTGCATTTTGGAATTTAACTGCTATAAGGCACCAAAAATGAGTGTGACAGAATTGCAGGGGGGGAAAGGATTGCATTTAATACCCAGCTTGTGCATAGGAATAATTCATATGCACATACCCAATCTGCATATTCAATATCACATTCAAAATATATGACGTTAATTCATATTTCTGCTTACAATTTTTTTTAAATCCCATCATGTAATTTAGCTTGAATGACTGCTTATTTTAAAAATACTTCAAAAAAAAGAATACATACTTCTGCTTCAGGACACACTGTTTTTAAAAGCCATCTCATATTGCTGGGAAAATTATGAGAATCACTTTTTACTGCACCATGTTTTCAATATTCTACAAATTCTATGTGAGCAGTCACTTCTGTAAACAGCAAAGTATGCTGTGCTCTACAACATTTCACAGCAATGTTCCTTTGTGCTTATGGAAATACAGCACTCAAACCACCCTGGTAATAGTTTCTTCTTGTGTGGGAATAGCAGTTCTAATGTAAGGCTAGAAATTACAAAAAGTGGGATTTTGTGCAGAAGAAAAGATTTCTTACATGTATCCATTAGCCGCCAGCATATCAGCCATGTATCTGGTGTTGGGGAGTTGCCATCCAAATATATCATGAATCACAATCACAGCTTTGCCTGTGCTGGCAGGTGGTTTGCAAACGTAGGCCTTGATGTGCTCAACTTGCACTTCCTGGCCACGGCCTCCATAGTCAAACCTGTCTCCAATATCACATGGGCAGGGCCTCGACTCATTAGCCATCTAGGAATCTGCAGGAAAGCAAAAAGGACAAACAGCAATACAATTTATTTGCAGTAACCACTGTGATTATGGGTCATAATCTTTATGCAGTCCCCTCCAGACACCTACTAACACCCACCTGATACTGCAAGTTAAAAGTGAAAGCTCCAGGTGTTTATTGTGAACAGGCTCTTGACAACAACCCTCTCTGGTTCCGTAAATACTCATGAATTCCAGGTCTGTCAGCATAACCCAGGACTGCAGCAAGGCCAGAAGGAGAGCTTGTGTCAGTCTGCCATTCCCAGCTTTGTGCCTGGAGCAATTCAGCATGTGATAACTACATTTCCATGTGATGACCCCATACACTGTGTTTCATAACCATTCCTCTCATGTGATCTCACAGCTCCTCCTCACAGGCTGGCTCATGGTTAACCTGTTGCTGTTAATCCTGCCAGACCCCTCTGTCAGCGTGCTGCTTTCCTGGCTATTTTTTCTCTTCAAGTTTTTATTGTGCATGTCCCCTTTCCCCTGCTGCTACCTACATGCACTTTGCTGGTCCCTTGTACCCCCAGCTGTGTACAGCCCTTTCCCAGGGAACCCTTCACTAACTGACATCTCTAAAAGCTGTAATGAATCAACTCACAGAAGGTAAATCAGCAAAGGGTTTTCTCTCAGAGTTACACACTATGTAATCTGAATTAAGACAGGTCAGAGGAATACAGAGACATACACCAGTGTTGTGTATAACATATACTCAGACATCACAGATACATCACTTCTCTAGAGGTATAAATTAAAAAAAAAAACTGGAAACTACTCTCTCTCTCCTCAAGTGAAGAAACATTTCCAAAGAGTTTATGACCTAACAGGTCTTATCAGTAGAATTTCTCAAGCTCAGTTTAATTTCTTGTTCCTTTCCACTGGGGATAGGGCATTGTAACATCTTTTTAAGCCAAACTAACTTTTGGTGGCCCATCCTCCTCCCCCTCCATTAAGCAGGTCACACACAGAGCATTTTTTTTTAACCCTAGTCTATGAAACTGTTTAAGCTAGCTCTGCCACCACTCTTAACTGATCAAAATGACACTGCTTATTGACAAGAGCTTCCCATGTAAATGCATGCACTGGAAGGATATTCCATGGTCTGGCTGGTTCCCTTACTATAGTGAAATGCAGAATGCTGGAAATAAAAATCAAATGCACTCTTCAATGCTTAACTGTTTTGTCAGGAATATACCTTAACCGTTTATCTGCTTCTAGATTTTCTAATTAATTCAAAAAGATGGCAAATAAGATCTATAACACACTTCCAATACTCACTCCCCTCTTCAATTTCTCTACTACAAATGTAACATGGTAAATGGTATTAAAAACAAAAGCAAACCCATGTTACTCCAAATCCTGCCTCTTTTCACGGGACAGTGCACTTTGGGGTGATACCTGGACAGGCTCCCAGCACCAAGAACTGACCCCCTTTAAGGACGTCTGTCAACAGAGCTTTTTTTGAATGAAACTCATCTCCTGACCTTCTGCAATCAATCACCGAATAACCTCCAAAAATGCAGTTCAAGTTTGATTTACCAGTTTGACTGCAGCTTTGCCAGCATTTCAAGGGGGCAGAAGTACCTTTTCCAAAGTTCACGCTAAGCAAAGGCAGGAGACTCCAAACACAGTTTGTTTAACTGACCAGACTTAGAACAGCTAATATCCTACCATTGTGCTTGCCGACTGGTTTCCCTCATTAGCAGCTCATCTGAGCAGTAAGCCAACAAAAAAATTATTTCTATTTAAGTAAAAGACTAATTTCTTTTAAAATAAACGCGTTTAAAAATACATGTAAAAACACAAGCTGTGTTCAAACAAAAATAACAATATTGCCAAGGTTTAATAAACAAAAACAACATGCCTCATCATTAAGTTTTTTTTTTTAAAACATATTGACTTGAAGAATGTTTACAAATTATTCACAGAAAGGGGTAAAACATCTTGTACTGCTGAGGCTATCCCTACAAACATGCCAAAATTCACAGCATAACATTTCTTTGAACTTAATGAATGCTTGGTAAAAAATCCTAATTAAATTGACATGGATGCAGCTGTTCAAAAGTACATAAAAATAGATGAGAGACTAACAGAGGTGTTGAGCAGAATATGAATAAAACACTTTTTTCTCCTCACATTCCGTAGAATTTATTTTTCATCAGAGAGGGCAGGGATAGGACAAGAGGCAATGGTTTTAAACTGAGAAAGGGAAGATTTAGGTTAGATATTAGGAAGGAATTTTTCACTATAAGGGTGGTGAAGAACTGGAATGGGTTGCCCAGGGAGTTTGTTGATGCCCCATCCCTGGAGGTTTTTAAAGCCAGGTTGGACAAGGTTTGTGCAACCTGGTCTAGTGGAAGGGTTCCCTGCTCATGGCAGGGGGGTTGGAACTTGATGATCTTTACAGTCCCTTCCAACCTTAATGATTCTATGATTTATCTGGTACAGCTAAAATACATTTAAATAAAAATTGCTGCAACCCAGGATTTTAAAATTGCCTATTAATTGAATTCTAATTTTCACCTGTATGTAATTCAATCACCACTAATTTAATGAGCAGAATGTTCCTAGTTTAGGAATATGATTACATTTCCTTTTAGATCAGCTCTTTGCTTTTGTGAAATTTCAAATTAAATACAGTTCAAACTTGTCTGCAGTTGAGACACATGAAGACTTTTAACATACCAGTTACTCAGGTTCCACCAGTTACTTAGGTTCCACCTAAGAAATCAGCCACATTGCCATCTTTTCGAAGCTTTACAAAACATGAATTTCATCATGATTTTAGAACACTGCATGCTTTGCCTTTTTTCAAAAAATTACTCACTATAGTTTACAGTGTCACAGTTTTAGACACTTCATTATATTTTATTAAGCCCAAATACAACATATTAACAGCCCAGATCTGGCATTTCCATCACCTTTATTTATCCTTCCTAGTTTCCAGATTTAGGCTATCACATAAGCCTTCTCTATAAAATAAAAACCAAGTAGTAAAATAATTTTGGTAAGGCCCAGTTTAGGCAGAATCCAATCCATGAATTTCTAATACTGCAACCACAGCACAACAGCATCTGTGCTGTTGTCTCACCCACAGTGGTGAGCCTGGGGCTACAGCTTCAACACAGGAATAGTTAACAAAACAGCTCTAGTTTGACAGCTTCTGTGCCTTTTCCTTTATCCTATTCCCATTCCCATCCCATTTATTATTTTTCCCATTCCTCAAAAACATCTCATCAGCCTTTTTTCTGTTTCCTGTATGGCATGTCACCAAAGCAGCAATTCCATCTCCTCCTCCAGCAACCTCTGATCCTCAAGTGATAGGAGTGCCAGACACAAGATTGGAAAAAAATGGTTTCCACAAGAGTCCATACTGTAAGAGAGGCTTCTCCTACCTTTGGTGAGCACTAGTGATGCTTGGCTGGCAGATGTTCAGATTTACAAGTTGCTAATCTTTGAATTCTGCTTCTTCAGTGGTATATATTTGGGTTGCTCCCAGTTGAGCTTTAGTTTGCTGAGTCATTTCAATGTGATTTTGCACTATTTGGCCAATCAAGTTTAAATAACAGAGTACTGCAAGGAAATTAACTCAGCATTTTGCAACTAATACTGCTTGTCATGGTTAACACTCCCTTAAGCAGCTCGGTACACCTCTATTTATATTTGTATGAGAAAAAAGATCTTACTCATTATGAGCAAGCATAAATTGATCACCCTCAGGGTACAATTCAAATCATGTTCCTTCCAACTCATTGGCTTATCAAGTTTTAATAATATCCCAAGGCAACCTGACTTTTCCATGTACAGGAGATAAACTGATAAACATTCAGTAATGCAAAATAAAATGCAGGGTGTGACAATGTTCTACCCCAACCAGGGCTCCCTCTGATTAACTCCAGACTCCTGAGGAGGAGGTGACATTCCACCTTCTATCGCTATCCAGCAGGCTGCAGTGCCTTGCTACATGTGGAGACAACATTCCTTGCTTGCTACAGCCTCCCACTTACTAGGAAGCCAGGTTTCCTCTGACAGTGATGTACCATTACGGCAGGATTTGACAGGGACCATTCAGAGTGTTGAATAACAGTCAGAATCAAATCTGCTAAAAGCCTTCTTCATGACCACCACGGAGAGGGGCCCCATCTTGTGGACGTTTCCTGGAGCTTGGGGGGCTTTTCATGCAGTGCTGAAAAGCTAGCTGTGATAGTGATCTGGATCCACCACCAGCAAGATCGACTAACCAAGCTTGGGAACTTGGAAACCTGGGAATTTATCAGCCATGGCATCCGTGGTCACATGCTGTGAGTAACAGGAGAGCCTGGATCCCCAGCATGGCTAGCAACACCCAGTGCCAGCCCTGGTTGTTGTCCCAAAAACTAGTTGGATCTTTTACCCCATGTAAAAAACAGAGTTGAGGCATTAATTGCTTAATTCCCTCATGTTCAGGGGGAGGGGTGCTAGGTGGTGATTCCACAAAATTAGCACACCTAACACTGAAAGGTTAGTCTTTCTATCATCATAATCAATACATTAACATATGCAATACTTACTATACTGTATTAATATTGACTACCCAATACTTGCATACTATTGGTTAAGATTTTCTCTGTCTTAATTTAAAGTTACAGTACATTTTAATTCTACTGCATAAGCTCAGTGGGTAGAGGTCTTCAAGCAGAGGGGGGTGTCTTAACTTCTGGCAGTGTGGTTTTCATATTGTAATTGGCCAAATGGACTCAAGGGACACCATTCTGGCTGACCTAAACAGCTCTACATGGTTCCTTGGGCTGACTGCCCAACTGAATTCAAAGATCCTGTAATGTCTAGTTGTTCTTGTATAGTTTAGCCTTAAATTAACTACTCTTAAGCAGTTAAGCAGTACACTAGCAATTACTTATTTAAACCTATCTCATTTTGACTAAATCCTTTAAAGATTTCAACATTATAATGACCCAGGCTAAGTGCCTTCACAGAACAGT